CATTTGATACCTGATTAATTCACCTGAATTTCAGTCGGTCGTTTTGGCACTAATGGCTTTTGCCGCCTTAGGAAAGCGTCGGCAAAAAAGAATGTAATTTTATCAAATTCTACATTTTATAACCTTTCTATTGATATATAGTTTGTGGGGGTTTCCTTCAAAACAGCACGCGTATAAATTTTTTCTGGAGGACACCCGTGAAGGTTTGAAGTAACCTTAATGTGAATTTTAGAATCCTGGAAAAAACAATCTGAGTCCTGGAAAAGTCCTGGAAAAGTCCTGGAAATTTGTTTTTGAAAAAGGGTACAAACCCTGTGGTGCGTACTTGGATGAATTTTCAGACTTCCATTAACCATGTTTCTACTTCTAGAATTGAAGAATCATCATATTATTGTTGTATATATTTCTCTTTTTAGTGTAAAGAAATTTTAATTTCATTATACTTTCTTGACTTGCAACCACCATATAAAAATTGATATAAAGTGTAATACCCAGGGACATAATGAAAACTGGTAGCTGACAGATTACTAGGCACCTTTTTCACTTCAAAATCTCTGAAGTTTGCAAACTAAATAAATTAACCATGACCTTAGTTGAATTTATTCAAATTATTGGATCAAAATTAACTGTAAATTATGGAGCATTTAGAAATGGGGCACTTTTTGTATTATAAAAATGCCTTTAACTAAGGGTATCTTACTTTTCTAAGGGTGCAAAATCAGATCACTGGAGTCACTTCATTTCAGTGTGTTCTCAATTAATGGGGGAATGGGAAAGAGCCAGGGTGCAGGATACCTCCTTTTTGCCCTTTTTGCATTCATGCTCATGGGAATAAACACTTGTCAGACTCAGCAGAGACAAAAGGTGGACTGCAAGTTTTCTAACTACAGTTGAAAATGTTTGTTATGTTTTTCTGATAGCTTCTGAGGACCTCTGTTTTAATTTGCAAGTGGAAATTTCTCAGACTGGGGAGACAGCATAATTTGACGAATATTGTTGGGGAGAAAACTCTGATCTTGATAACTTTTAGGCATCATTGGTAACCCACCAGAATGCTAAGAGGTTTGCAAAAAAGAAAAGTCGTGTTGTTTGTCCAGTGGTAAATCTCCAGGCCAATCAGAATCATCATGAACCATCAGAACTTTTTTACTGCAGCAAATTTTTAGTCATCGTGGTACATCGTAAACAAATCAATGTAAGGGATTTTTTAATCCTCCGACTTTCTTTAGTGCAGTTTTTTTCTTAGTAATTTACCAATATATACTGTCCCTCCCTCCCCGTGTCAATAAACGCACCTAACAAAATGATCTGGTCAGCGGTTCTTCGAAGTTGTCCCAGTCCTCTAAGTGTAGTTTCGAAAATCCAGCCCGAGTATGCTGGAGTTGGTTATTCTTGCCTTGTTTGCTGGCTTTCTTGGCATTTTTACCTACGACTTTTTCACGAGGAAGAAAACTGAAGTCAATGGGGCTCACGTGGTGGTAGGTTTTCACGTAGCCAACAATTGCAACACTTTTCTCTTGCACATGTAGTCTTGCAGGAGTCTTGATTGTTCGCTCGCGAGTCACGCTCTAGTCCGCTGATTATAACTTATCTTTATCTCAGGTCACTGGAGGATCAAGTGGTATTGGAAAAGCAGTGGCAATGAAACTCGCAAAATGCGGGGCCAACGTAACGATTCTGGCGCGGAATATGGTTAGACTTGGCGAAATATCGTATGCATAGGAAACCAATGTACAGAAAGTGGGAACCAAATCGTGGTAGTGGCTGGGGGGAGGGGATGGGTCATGTAGCAGCTCTCGTAAGGTCTGACATGAATGGCTTGAAACCCTTTGAGAGGAAAATAGAACAAACAACAGAAACAATGCCCCCCTAGCCCCAAAACAATTACAGCTGCTGCAATGATGACAAATAGAATTACAAGCCTAAGAGAGCTGCTAGTCACTACCGGAGGGGTGAGGGAGAACTGGGAGTCCAATAGTCCATTTCCGTGTTTCCTTGTGCCTCTGTTTCAAAATGAGTCATTGTGCTAAACCTTTCATATGAAAATGAGTTTGATTTGCATGGAAATGAACATGTACATCTAGGTGGCACACATTTCCATATGAATGGTTTCGCAAAGACTCATTTTGACACAGAGGCAAAAGGCAACTCGAAAATGGCCTATTCTCTGATTTCCCTGTTCCCACATCACTGGCAATAAGTGATTCCAGAAAATATCCATACCTATACCACGGTTGGCTTTTTGGAATTCCGTGGGCAAGGGGAGGTTCTTTGAACTGGAAATGCAAAGGCATAGAGGTTAGACGACACAGCTGACAACTGCGGATAGCAACATGCAAGACAAGCATCATTTGATCAGGCATATGTTTTCGTGTTCATTTAAAGAACACTGATAAAGTCTGGTTAGTACATTGGGCTCCAGAGGCCTTAAAGTTGATGAATTTCTTGTTAGATATTTGTTTGCAATGAAAGATGCTTGGTTACCATGCGCCAGTGATATATATTCATAAAGAAACTGCTATGATGGCATCTGATTGAGTGAATATTGTTTGTAATATCAAAAGTAAATTAGGCCAGATTTGCCTATACATGTTCTTATTTTTATAGTAATTAGGACACAAAACAATTGAAATTTTTATTTCTTCATTAGTTTAGTCAAAAACCAATTGCAAAATTGCGACTAAAGAGGAGGAAGTTTTAGTTGCTGAACATTTAGTCATGAAAGCATGTGATCATATTGGTTGCAATATTGCGCCCTGTAGACAGTTGTTTAACTGAAAATTATCAGCAAAAACAACTGGGAAGATGTGGAAGCATAAAATCTCTTTTGTTGGAAGACGTGGGGAGTCAAACAAGGAATCCAGAGGGTTCAAGTTAGGAAGGGAAATCAAGAAGGGAGTGGGGATTAATGATTTTGGAATTTGGAGGGCATGGGGTAGGTCATTTTGGAATTTCTAAACGTAAGGGACCTCAAATGTTCATGCCGCCCATGGCATGGTATGGAAATTTTCTGGAATCACCCAATCTGTTCTTTCTTACATGAAATTATCCACAATTTTACTTTCCTAAAACTAACCAAGGCATATGATATAAACGCATTACGCCTCTCCCAAATCATTGGTATTATATTGGTTAAAGCACAACTTACGTGTAGCTTGAAAAAAAAAACAAACAAACAAACAAACAAAAACCAAGCACTTATTAATGACTCAATTATGTTCACCCTATTTGAGTTGGGAGATATAACAAGGAAGATTTATACCACTCTCCTCAATTCCTCAAAAATTGAGGCTCACTCTCACTTGATTCATAGTGAGTACTGGATTCTGAACTGATACAATGTTAGAATTGTCTTGTTGAAATATGGAGGTTAAAATTCTATTTTACTAAATTAATGATATAAGTTATTCAAAATAGTGAAGATACTCTGTATCCGTTTGGTCCCAGGGAGTGTTCTCCCAGGTGTTCCAGAAGGATTATAATTATAGGGTGGGATGATCAAGTGAATTGAAGTTCTCTTACCGTACACAAATATCATTTCTCAATGATAGAACGTCCCTCTTTTGTCGTGCAATATCTGTATTGATATTTTTGAGATTTGTTTTTAATGACACTAATGAAACCTTGCAAACTTTTGTCTAGTTGTTATTTGAACTTCAACAACTTGTTCTTGTCCCTTGTCAAAAATTGATTTAAATTCTCCTGTTGTGTCCCCCAACTTCTCTGTGGTCTGCCTAGGGATATACATGTACTGCTGGAAAAGCTAAATGATCAAAAAATAATAGCTCATTGCTGGATAAACAGAACGTATTGTCAACATATCTGCAGTAAAAATAACATAATAGCTGGGTCCTTATATTGATCAAGCCAAATCCTAAGTTTTGTGATGACCCATGCAAAGGTTGGCTAGAATGGGTGTGAGGAGAGCTATAGGTTTGGGAGTTTGAGAATGCAAGTTCCATTTCCCTCTTTTCTTGGCCCGAATTAATGCTCAGTGTATCGCTTTTTTATAGTATAATTAGCAACCTGTTAATATGACTCAGTGGGTTGTGGCAGCCCCACTGTGGTTAAGTTTGGTGAACCTGGCACCCAGAAAGTGCTGTCACTGCAGTGATAAACTTTTTTAGAAACATGTCTGGTTAAATGTCATTGAAGATGTGTACATTGAAGATTATTCATTGTGGTGTAAGATAGGATAGATGAATTTTTCACTCGTTTGTCTCACGATGGAGTCACTTTGAGATGTAGATCAAGATGTTTAGACTGCTATACTGCTAGTCTTCATCAGGCGATGAGGTCAATTGTTGCGTGTCGCTATTTGTAGCACCTTGGTTTACTGCTATTGGTGCATTTTGATCCTCATTATTATTCCAACTTTGTGATGCTGTTCCCTCATAGGTCTGCATTCTGACTGGCTGTTGTGCTTTCTGATTGTAGGTACAGTAAATCCTCGAATTAGCACCCCCCTCGAATAAGCGCCCCCTTCAAATAAGCACCCCTCCTGTCAGCCAAAATTTAAAATAAGTGGCCCCCTCGAATAAGCGCCCCCCTTCCCTCCCCCCATTTTGTGGACAAGTACTGAGACAACAAAGGATGTATAATTTTTGTCATGTGGTATTAGATTTGTACATTGTTTCAGTTTGGGAACACGTTAAGTACTAATGGTGCCACAATTTAAACTTAAAGATCTGCTTTTTTTGTTGATAAACAGCTTATGTTGCGCAGATGATTTATTAAAAAAAAATGATCATGTCAGGCCACCATTTGGGAAAAATTAATTAAGCACCCCCCTTGATTAAGCACACCCCATCTTCTCCTAAATTTGAAATAAGCATCCCGGGCGTTAATTCGAGGATTTACGGTATCCATGTTTCAGGAATTTCGATTCCACCATCTCTATTGATGTTATTTGGATGAAGTCTTATATGGATAGCTTCCTTGACCCTTTGTGTGTACCAGTGAGGGTCACGATCAATAAACTTGACTTTGTCCCAAATGGGTAAATGCCCCATCTCATTGGCGTGTTCTGAAATTGCAGAGGTTTGTGTACGAGCAAGCCGCATGTCTCTGTCATGTTCTTTTATCCTCCTCTCTTACATAGCTCACCCTGTTTCTCCAATATACACCTTGCCACATTCGCAAGGAATCTTATAAACAACACTGTCTTGTTTTGTTGGTTCAAGGGTGTCTTTAGGTTGCACTTAAGTAGGACCTAAGAGTTTTGTCAGATTTAAAGACAGTGCATATGCCTTGTTGTTGTAGGCAGGATCGAAATGCACCAATAGCAGTGAACCAAGGGGCTACAAAATTGGCAAAATGCAACAATTGACCTCATTGCCTAATGAAGACTAGCAGTATAGCAGTCGAAATGTCACGATCTGCATCTCAAAGTGACTCCATTGTGAGACAAACGAGTAAAAAATTCACCTATCCTAACAATCATAAAGCTTGATGTCTCCTAACAAATGTCTTGTTTTGTCAACAAGTTTGATGCTTACATTCAGCCAGAGAATTTTCGTGCTTGCCGTGTCCAACGTCACCCCACATTAATTCATTGTGTGAATAGACTGTGTGGTACTGCCAGGATCCATATTCACAGTCGTCTGTTGCCCTTTTGAATGGGCAAGTAAAATTCTGCCAGGGCAAGTATGATATCTGGCATACTTGCCCGGCTGACAACTTGGAGAAGGAACCAATATATTGGATCCCTGGTACTAAAAAAACTTTTGTTCTCTGTTTTTCTATAAAATACCAGGTTAGACTGGAAGAAACATTAAAAGAAGTTAAGAAACATTTAGCCCCAGAGAGAAAGGTATTTGCTTTCTTAATAATACTAATAAGATCACTTCCAAGTGTATGCAGTCATGTATGTAGTTTGTTTGTTTGAATTTATTTGAAAATATTTTCAGGGAATATGATTAACTGGTAACATAAAAATAACCTATTAAAACAAATAATGGTCAGTGATAAGAAATAACTTTGGACCCCACAACACGGTGCTCAACACATTCTTGTCAGTTGCTTTAAAACTAGTCAACAGATACATTTAATTTAGTATTAGTTATGTGTGAAACTGATGTTTCTTCCCATTCAGGTCCTAGCTTTATCTGTGGATCTTTCTGGTGAAGCACAAGATGTAGAAAATACATTAGACCAGGTTTGTGAACATCCCAAAAAAATTTGTGTAAAAAAACAAATAAAACAACAACAACAACAACAAAAACGGTAACCCCACACTTTTTCAAAACAATTATTACGTTGTGGCATGAATCACTCATCAAATAATTCTTGGAGCAAGTTTATGACCTCCCAGAATATTGAAACCTTGGGTATTTCACACAAAACAAGGAAACTTTATTTTTATTAATTTGGGCAGCGCTTGCCTTGTATCCGCGTCATCTTTTTACACAGTTTTTTTTTTTTCAAAACAATCAATTGTAATGATTCTAATTAGTCTTAATAATTTGAGATTAATAAGAAGCTATTACATATATTGTACATCTTTTTCCAAAATTGTGATTTCAGTTTAGTGATCTTGAACAGTACCTGCAACATGCTGGTTACATTGTATGGCACCAACCAAACCACTTATTGACTTTCACCACCACCTTCACCTTCCAGGGGCAGAAGCCTCAGCCACTTAATTATTAGACATACATGCAGATATTTTACTGCAACTGCAATGAGACTGGTAAATAGCAACTGGTCCATATTCCAATCATGAATATTTTCCTTTATTGCACCTTTAGGCTTGTGAAACCATGGGTCCAATAGACATTCTTATAAACTGTGCTGGTTTTGCAGTTTGTGGCTTGTTTGAAGAAACTCCAGTGGAGGACTTTAAGGTTAATGTCTTGTCAAAAAGTATATCAATTAACATTTGTATTATTAGTTTGCCAAGTGTGAGAAAATAATGTTATAGTGTGTCATTAAAGGAACAGCAATCCAGCTGATATATCATTTAAACTTAATTATTAAGAAATAATTATAACCAACAACAACAGTTTTGACTTCAGAAGACATGTTTCATTTGATCTTAGATGTCTTCTCCAGTTAATTGAAGTATATGATTTGTATAGAAATGCTAATGAAGTACAAAACAACGTCTGAAATATCAAGTTTTAATAAGTATAGCCTGGAGCTCACTATAAAACTTCCTTTGTTCTATCTTACCATATCAAAAACAAAAATGCAGAAAGTGGTGAATACAAGAAATAATCAACTAAAAAGAAAAAAAGTTAATTGTTATACTTCCCGCTTTGTCTTTAATTAGATTAACAAAATTAGATTCTTACAACATATTTCCTGAAATTTGCATCTTAAAGTTCAGCTCTAGGTACATTGTACACAATATGGTCAACATGTTAAAATACCATGTATAGATATCGACAGTAACTACTGTTTAAAGGTAAGAGGCAATTTTCAGTTCAGCACCCTGATGAAAATGGTTTTAAAAGTTTGAATTCAATTACAGGCCATGATAAACACAAACTACTTGGCCAGCGTTTTTACAAGTCATGCTGTTGTAGAGAAGATGAAACAGAGAAGAAAAGGACATATTGTGTTTGTCTCGTCAATAGGTGGGCAGGTACTGTATGTAAAATTCACCTTTTTATAAGCTTGTGAAATTGCATATCACATCAAGTAATAATTTCTCATGATTAGCATTGTGCTCTACTTTTAATGTTATTGATGTTATGAGCATACACCTGAAAATAAGATGGATTTCTTGGTTTGAGGTGGTGGGTGGTACGCATGGTGGTCTCATGGTTAAGTGTGCTCATCTCCAGATCGAGCAGTTCAAGTTTGAGGCCTGGCTGGGGACGTTGTGTTGTGTTCAAGAGCAAGACACTCTACTCTCACAGTGCCTCTCTCCCCCCAGGTGTATAAATTGGTACCGGCAAACTTAATGTTGCCCAGGGTAACCCTGCGATGGACTAGCATTCCCAGGGGGAAGAAGAAATTCTCCTAGTCACTTCATGCTACAGAAACCTGGATAAGTTCCAGCGTGATGGGCCACTTGGCTTGTATGCAGACTTTACCTAGCTACCTTGGTTTGAGGCTTTGAGTGTTCAGTTTAAAGTCTTCTCTGTCAAACTATTTTCTTTTCCAGTTTGGATTATTTGGATTCACTGCATATTCTCCTTCAAAGTTTGCTGTAAGAGGCTTTGCAGAAACTCTTTTTATGGAGGTAAGTGTGATTATCATTTCTTTAGTATGGATGTTTGTCTGATGGAGAACATTATTATAAAACTCGTAACAGAATGAATTTTTTTCCAATTAGGATTTTTATTTATTTTCAGTTATTTTTTTTGTGTGTGTTAAGTTTATAGTAGGCTTTTAATCATTTAGTATTATTAGTTTTAAATGGTTAATTAGTAGAGGTGTGTTTCCCCTCAGCTAACAATATTTTGACACATAATAAAGTTTTTGATTGATTAATTGATTGATTGTATTGATAATTGACACTTGTCAAGCTTATGGTATTCTGAGAGTATAGGTCGGATTAGCTTTGGATGATTTCCAAGAAATTTGCTGGAAACTAATCACACTTTTCAAGTCAGACTTGTTTGGTGATGCATCCAATTGTTGCACATATTCTCAGCCTCAAAGCACCTGAGTAACAGTTGAATTTCTATTAGCATTGTCAGATGAGGCTAAATCAATTCCTTTGGATTTTTAGTCAAGAGGAATTAGACTGGCAGTTGAGTTAGCAATCCTAGTATTTCACTGAATCTCAGACTTAAAATGCTAGTGTGTGCGAGTGTACTCAACTCTCACTCCTCCTTTTCATTTCAGGTAAAGCCATACAATGTTGCTGTCTCTGTGGTTTTTCCACCAGACACAGACACACCAGGATTTGAAAATGAGAATAAGAACAAGGTACTACACGTGTAAGGTCATATAATTTTCCCTTTAATAATGGTGTTATGTTTATATTTTTGGCTTCTCTGTGAAAGTCATTGCCCATGGATGTCTTTTGAAGGCAATACCTATTTAATGATAACAATAACTTATTTGTTAAAAGATATTTATTGGACATGGTGAACTTCACATTTAGCAAGCATGTACATGTATGCAAGCAGTGTCTATAGTTGAGCTTGCCTTATATCAATCAATAGCATGTTTACCCACATGGATTTCTAAAAAGCTGTCCCAAAACAATTTCATCCAAACAAACCTCTTCAGGGCCAAAGTAGAGCCTAAAGCAGCCCCACAGAGATTAAAGCATTTGCTAACATTTGTCAGGTTTCCCCAGAAAAATAAGGTGTTCACTGTCACATGTCAGTTAGAGAGAGACGTTGTTAGAGTAAAGTGAACCTTCAACATGCTTACCAACATATCTGTATAATACTGTAAGTTTATATATTGTGTCTCATTTCTTGCTCTCTCAGCCTGAGGAAACTCATCTTATTAGCAGTGCAGGCGGCCTCTTTACTCCTGAACAAGTTGCAGCCAACATTGTTATGGGAATCAAGGTATGAAAGTCATGTTTCCTAGAATTTTTTCTGTTTTGTCTTTTCCGAGCTTTCGTGTGATGAATAATTGTGCGTTTTACCTCCACAATTCCTGTCAAGTCATTCCCTTCGCCTCAACATTAGCTACAAGTGTTACCTAACTGGCGTTCAATAGAGGCGAGCATTCAACTTCTCATCCTTGTATTGTTGTCCAACAATTGTTTCATATTCAACTTCACGTTGTCGGTAGCCTGCGTAGCAAGCGTTTCCGTGGAGTTTGGGAGCAAAGAAAGACCGAGGAACGGGATTTTCGGTGTTTTGACTACGCGGAAAATGGGGCGAGAGCCAAAAAGAGAAAGATTATTCGCGCTATAATTCTTTGCTCCCGAACTGCACAGAAACGCTTGCTACGCAGGCTAGGTTGTCGGTGGTAATCCTGGCAAACCTACACTGTTCACGTTGTCTTTTTTACGTTTCCATCAGTGAAAATGTGTCTTTAAACTTTTTGTGTTTTAACTTTGGAAGTCATATGCAAGACAATGTCCCTTAAACCATCAGATAACTCATTAGAGGCCGAACTGTTTACTCGGACATCCTCCGGGAGGGGGGGTACTCCCAGAAAAGTTGGGTGTGGGTGTGCGGCCCACTTCCCAAAACCTTTACCCTATTTATGACCAAAATCTGCGTTTTTTGCTACCCTATCTATGACCTGGCCAAAAATTCGATACCTATTAAAAACCGTTGCGGCTGGCACAGTTGCCCTAAACATAAGTTATGAAGGGCTTTTGTTGACGGTCTTATTGATAATGGTGACAAAGTAGCTTCTTCCAAGAAACATACCCAATTCAAGACTAAAGCGTGCTAAAACCATACGCTATTTATGACCAAAATGGCCAAAATCGATACCCTATTTATGACCAAAACGGCTGAAAAACCCTACCCTTTGGGGCCGCACATACCTATATAGCCCAT